ATGAGTGATATCTCTGTAGACTAGCTTTTGCTTGTAAAGTACATGCATTTTGTACACACACAAATAGTGCTAGATTGAGAGCTCTGTATGGCTGGCCTGAGAGGAGAACTAGAAATTCCGAGGAGAACTACATTAATTATTGCGGTAGATAAGAAACCAGAGCTCTGTTTAGGGGTAGACAATACTCTCTCCCTCAATAATAAACCAGTATTGCAATTTTATTTACATGTTTAGGTTTTTCATCAATTTATATTGGAGCTTGTCTTTTGGTTTAGGTTGTACACATAAATAAGTTTAAGAAAAATTTGCCCCCCTTAGAAGATGTGCCTGAGGGAGTGGCATTTTGGCCTTATACGTACTCATCTTAAGAAGATGTGTTCTAAGAGAAAAAAGATAAGACCAAAACATGGGTGAGACAGTCTCACTGTGAGATGTAGCAAATTTGTAATGACTTGAAAACGATAGTAATAGGGATAGGGTAACAGTCATTTAACAAGATGCATTAGATATGCCTCAGTACTTCAGTTGTAATGAGATACAAAATGAAATCTATCTTTATGTCATTTATTATAGAGTGACTTGTTATCACCTACGAACATTACTTTTAGGAGTGCTTATGTTTGCCTCACTTTGTCATTGAATATCTTCCTTGATTGAACATAAGTATCACATAAGAACCTCAGTCTTAGGTGCTCTTCACATAACTGTAACATGTGAACATTTCTTTGCATCTTGTTGATAAATTTTGTGTTTATAACTAACCAACAAACAACAACATCCAAGCATCTTGTGAATAAATTTTCTTGTTTATGACTAACCATTGGCATTAATATTAGAGGTGTTCTTCAGTTTTGTCATCGGTGTAATGTAATTTGTTACAAATTTTTTAGAGTTTCTTGACAAGATTTTGTACTAGTTTTGCTTCCAAATGCTCTACTGTCCAAAGCTTCCAAAGATTTCTAAAATGTATGAAGATGTTCAGTAGACCTTTTTGTGCATGACATTTTAGTTACTTTGGTATATAGTGTAAGATCTTTTAAAATTAACTGTTAAAATACCAAATTCAAAAGGCAGAAACATGTCTTCGCAAACACTTATGGGATGGGATTAAGGCTTGAATGTCTTCTCAAATTTTCCAATAATTTTCAAGTCTGTTTTTTGTTTTAAAAAAAACTCACACTTCCTTGATTTCGTTTTTTATTTCAGAAAAGTAAGAGAAAAAACATAAAACATAAAACCAAATTGATAGCAAAAGGCACCTTAGAGCGGAGTAGATTTTGAGTTTCTGGTTCCAGTTCAGTTTGCCATTACACTGCATCAACCAAAAAAGTTCAGTATATGGGCAATGACGCCAGGAGGATAGATCGGTCCACATTTACTTGCATGGGGGCAAACAATGGATTTCAAGATCTCAAGTTTCTTATCTAGTAAAGAGTGCAAAGAGGATTGAGAAAGTGAATGAAATGCACTCTCTTTTTTGAGTTTCTAAGTTGGATAGTGTTCATCCTATGTAGGAAATGTTCTGTTGGCATGAAAGATGTGATATGATCTCTTCTGCTATGAATATTTTTGGTATGAATTCATTCAATTAAATAAGTAGAGAGCAAAAGAATAAGGTAAAGAGAACTAACTTCTTAGCCACCTACAGCAATGTTTAATAGTGCTTTTCACAGTGAGTTACTTAGGCATCTAAGCGCATTTCCTGCTGGGGTCCCGCCCAATTCAGATTAATCCCCGACTAGGCCTTCTATGCTGTGTAGCGATTTTTCAATATTAGTTTACGCTTAAATGAACCACCGCATAAGATGTGTTATAAACTTACAAGTTGTTTTTCGTGAACATGCAATGTGTTTCAGGGAGCGGGATATCAAATCTATTATCTCTTGCTGTTAGTAACCTCATCGTCTTCGGTGCTTCTTCTGATGCTATGATGATAGTGGCATCCATTTGTGACAACCAAATACGAGTGAGTTATGTAGGACCATAGAGAACGGCCGTAGTGTGATACTTCAAAGAGTCCATTTGTTAATCTATTGTCGCTTCAGTAATGTATATGAAATAATAATAAAAAAGTTATCATTTTTTGTTTTGTTCATGCCTTCATGCTTGGGCTGTGGGGGAGGGCGTCAACTGGGCAATGGTAATTGATGGGGTACCCTTAAAAGATGTCAATCCAAAATTAAAACTTAATACGAGGACGAAGTGTTGGTTTAAATGGAGGATTGGAGGGAGTGGGGGTTTTCAATTACGGAGTACAAGATATTTGGATTAACTAATGCTAAAAGTAAAACTTTTGTTCTTAGAAGCTACTTAGTACTATTAAAGTAGTTTCTCAAAAAAGTTCATAAGTTTTTTAAACTCTTTTACCAAGCCTACAATTAACATTACAACTTGGAAGGTATGGGTTTGTGTTTATTATTCATTCAACTCATATGACTGAAATCGATATTCATGAAAGAAAAGTTGGCTAAATCAATATCAACGGCATCTCCATATTAATTAATGCATTGTGATAATCAGACCACGAGTTGTCTAGTTCAGTTTGGTATGACCATACGATTTGATTTGGTTAAACCATTTGTACAACCACAGAACATACAATTGTTCGAAAGAGGTTCAACACATCATAACCGCACACACAATGAATGACATTAAATAGAAAAGGGTATAGATGGTTACTGCCCTTTCATGCTCTAGCCTAGCTCATCTTCATTCCCCATGTTGCCTTCCTCGTCTTCTAACCCACACCAGCTTCCCCATCCAAGCCATTATAGGTATCAGAAATAAGGTTATTGTCATGCTTTTTACGCACGGACCAATTCAAGTCTTTTTCAGAATCACTCTAGTACCCAAATCGGAGTTTTTTCCCGGAATAATGCTAATTAAATAAATTATTCCTGAAATATTGCCGGGTTAAAAATAATTCCCAAAATAATGTTGGAATTAACCACGGTTCATGAAAAAAGTGGCGGATCTTGTATTACTTCACAAAAGCCGCCACTCTGAGTGGCGGCTCTTCTCTTATAGTACAAAAGCAACCACTTCAAGGGGTGGCTCTTCTCTTACGTCCCATTTTGTACATATATAAAACACAGTATGTTTCAAGAATTTGTTTAACTGTCTTCCCGATTGAATTTTGAGCTGAAATTTGGTATGCATAAACTATACTTGATGAGGAATATGCTCAAAAAATTTCACCAAAAAATTCCACTGGAAACACCTCTGATGGTGTTGTCCGCAGGGGGTTACGGTCAGGACGTCATGACAAAAGGGTGGTCCGGCCACCTCAGTTTGAGGTGATTCCCGGTGGGATGTTTTGCTGAATTGTTGTGTGTATGTTATTCATCAAGTCTAGTTAATCCATATCAAATTTCAGAACCAGTTTCAATCGGGAAAGAAGTCAAATGATTTTTTAAAGATAACTGCGTTTTATATGTATAATCCGGCGTAGTTGTCTTTCAAAAATCATTTGACGACCTTTCGGATTGAATGTTTTGCTCAAATTTGGTGTGACTGAACTAGACTTTATTAAGAACATACACAAAAAAATCATCAAAACATACCACCGGGAACCACCTCAAATTGAGGTGGCCGGACCACCCTTTTGTCATGACGTCCTGACCGGAACCCCCCGTGGACAACACCATCAGAGGGTGTTTCCGGTGGAATTTTTGATGAAATGTTTTGAGCATGTTCCGAATCAAGTCTAGTTTATGCATACCAAATTTCAGCTCAAAATTCAATCGGGAAGGCAGTTAAACAAATTCTTGAAATATACTGCGTTTTATATATGTGCAAAATGGGCCGTAAGAGTAGAGCCGCCACTTGAAGTGGCGGCTTTTGTACAATAAGAGAAGAGCCGCCACTCGGAGTGGCGGCTTTTGTGAAGTAATACAAAAGCCGCCACTTGGAGTGGCGGCTTTCCTTAACCGTGGTTAATTCCAGTAGTATTTTGGGAATTATTCTTGACCCGACAGTATTTCGGGAATAATTTATTTAATTAGCATTATTCCGGGAAAAAACTCAAAGCGAACTTCGGAGATGCGATTAGATCTAATTGTGGTTTCGGACCAAATCGGGGACAATATTGAGTCCCCATACAGAGAAAGTAATGGTGGGGGTCAATGGATAGACCAATGGAAAGGTTCCATAGATACGGTAGTGATGGAAGGGTTTCGCAAATGGGGGCTAGCCATGGACCGGGACCGGGCCGGGCCAGGCTCCGGGCTGGTTCAAGCTGGGCTTTTTTTTCGGATGTTGGGCCCGGAACCGGCCCGGGTTGATACCCTGTCCGGGTCAAAACTGGGCCGGGTCGGTCCGGGCCCTGTTCAATGTAGTTTCCTTTTTGTAAAGACGGTTCCGGTTCAGGCCAGACCACCCGCCTGGGTCACAGGTTAGGCCACCCGACGGGCCGGGTCGGGCCGGGTAAATCCAATTTTTTACTTATTTATTCTTTATAGTTTTATACAAGTATTAAAAACAAACTGCAAGTGCATTTATTTGAAATGAAATAGGAACTACATTTGACAATTGAGAAAAACAATACAATATGAAATACATTTTGTAATCAATCATAATTTCTTGGTCCTTTGGCTTTGTCACGTTTAGGGATGGACTCGGGCCGGGTGGCCCGACCCGGAACCGGCCCGGGACCGGTACTGTTCCGGCTCGGCCCGACCCGGTGGCCCGGTCAGTGACCGGTCCGGGTAGGCCCGGCCCGTGGGTTTTCCGGTCCGGGCTCGGGTCACCCAAAACAAGGCCTGACCTGGCCGGGCCCGGGCCCGGTTCGGGCCAAAAAAATATTTTTTTTTGTTTTTTTTTTTCAATTTTTTTTAACTTTTCGGGTTGGGCTGGGTATTTTGGGCCATTTGGGGTGGTTTGGGGGTTGGGGGTGGGAGGGGGTTAATTAGGAAGAGGAAAACAAAAAAATATATATATAATGGGCCTGGCCCGGCCCGGCCCGGACCGGACCCGGTGGTTACCCGGGCCGGTCCCGGGTCCACCATTTCTGACCCGCCGGTCCGCCCGGGCCTAGGCCCGACCCGGACCCGGCCCGGACCCGAGTCCAACCCTAGTCACATTACTTAATATGCTTCTTGGTCATCCCGTATCCGCGTGAATCCCCCAAACTACACTTTTTCCCGCACTATTTGCAAGTTGCGTACCACATCCCGGTCCTCAGGTCCTTTTGCGTATAAAAATTATACGCGATAACGGTATATTGACTTTGCATCTTAAAAATGGTAGATATAATAATTCTATAAATACTAGAAAGTCTAGAATAAATGGAGATGAAGATAGAGAATGGAGATTGAAGATTGGATATTGGAGAAGATGTGTATAAAAATGTTAGAAAATAAGAGTATTTATAGAAATTTTTGTACCCCCACCCCTACCAATGGCTATATAGCCGTTTGGGTCTTTGAGGCTAAGCCTTTGAATTCAATTTTTTTTGTTTATTTTAGTTTGAAATTTTTGAATAAATTAAATAATGTAAAATTAATTAATTTGAGAAGTGCTACATATAAAAAATGAACGTATATTTATTAGAATTTAGAAATATGAACTGCAAGTTTACAAGTTACAATTGAGAATTGAAGGAAAAATTAAAACATGAAATACTAATCAATCGAAATCTCCGACATATGTAGTGATATAAGCGTCTCAAGAGATTCTATTGAAACCGGCATTGATAGCACTTGTTTAGGAAAAGACACATATTTCACACCTCTTTCTATCAAATAATCATGCCATTTTTTTCTAAGTTGAACACTACCCCAAATACGTCTAATCCCCCTGACTACCTCCATAGAATCTCCTAACGCTTTTAGACCATCTTGCACACATAAATTTAGAACATGACATGCACATTGTTGATGAAAAAATCTACCCATCAAAGAAGTAGCATCACACAATTCACGCAATCTAGAAATAGCAGCAGTATTATTAGTAGCACTATCAAAACCAATAGCAAACACCTTATCATTCAAATTATACTCAATTAAAATACGCTCAATCAAAATATAAATATGTTCAGCGGTGTGACGATCATTAAATTCACGAAAAGCAAGAACACGTTTATGCATATTCCAATCATTATCAATATAATGTGCAGTCAGACCCAAATAATGTAAATTATGATAAGTATCCTCCCATATGTCAGAACATACAGTAACACGTCCATCAAAGTTTTCAAAAAAAATTTTGTAACCTTACCTTTTTCGCACCATAAAGCTTTAAAATTTCTTTCTTAACCGTTTTGCGACTATAACCTCTATATTGAGGATTTAAACAAGTTTGTGCATAATCTTTGAAAGCAAGACTTTCAGAAAACAAATAAAGCAAATTTTCTTCAATAAGTTAGCCATACCAATCAAATTTTGTGCATCCTTGTATGAGAAATTACCAAAAGGTTGTTGGTTATTAGCAAACCTCGATATTTGAATTTGCTTCCCCGTTCCGCCGCCTAATTTTGCATACTCCACCGTGTGTTTGGCCTTAAGATGCCTTGCGGCGGATCCGTATCCGCCGGAAATCCCCACGCTATAATTTTTCTTCCACCACTTGCAAGTTGTGTTCCAATTCCCGGTGTTCGGGTCCTTCCACTTATCAAAATAATTAAGCATTAGTTCAGATTTACTTTTTTTCGTACCGGTTTGGGATGAGGCAGGCTCGTCGGCGTCGTGGCTGCCGCCACCCTCCTCCTCGTCGGCGTCGTGGCTCTCCGGAATTACTTCCTCCACATCATCGTCCTCGAACTCTTCTTCGTCAATGGTCCTCGGCTGATCTTGGAAAAACCGACTATTATGTCGGTGCAATTCTTGTTTTAGTTGTTCGTCGGTCATCGCATCCTCATCCCTCCTTGCGTAACTTGTATCAAAATCATCTCGGCTTTGAGATGAAGAGCCGATATGTGATTTACCTTTGCGGGATCTCTTCCTCGCAAGCTCGTTCTTTCGGTTGCGGTCGAGATTACCCATATCAACCGAATATCTACCACCTTTCATCTTGGAGATAATTAATATATAACTATATATTAACCGAATAGATAATTAATATATAACTATATAAGTAGATAAGAAATATAAGTAATACTTCCTCCGTCCCATAAAATTCTTCCCACTTTCCTTTTTGGGTTGTCCCAAAAAATTCTTCACACTTACCATTTTTGGACAATTTGTGTGGTTCACATTCATTTCCTTTTTTTCTTACACAACCACAACCACACATTTCCACTTTATTCCACTTTCTTAATCTCCGTGTCAAGTCAAAGTGGGAAGAATTTTATGGGACGGAGGTAGTATAATATATATATATTTATAAGTAGATAAATAATATAAGTAGATATATAATATATTGGAGAATAAGAGAATTTGAGAAGATGAAGATAATTAGAGAGTAGAGAGTAGGATTTAGGAATAATTGGAGAAGAGATATGGAAAAATGTTTAAGATTAGGAGTATTTATAGTTTTTACCCACCCCAAACTGCCCGGACACAACAATGAGTTGTTTTCTTCGTACTGCCACCACATTTTTAGGTGTTGGGAGAGTTGAATCAAGACTTCACGCATGGAAAAGAAAAAACATCAATCAAAGCGGAAGACTTATACTAATCAAACATGTGTTATCTTCCATACCGTTACACCACCTCGCCATTTCTAAATTTCTTCATAAGGTCATCACAATCCTCCATAGAATTACGACCAATTTCTTTTGGGGAAACTCAAAGGAAAAGCCAAAATATCACTGGAGGAGTTGAGAAAAAATTTGTAGACCGAGGGAGGAAGGGGGACTTAATATCAGATCACTTACAGACACCCAACTCTCCCTACACCTCAAAATGTGGTGGCAATACGAAGAAAACAACTCACTATGGACCCACCCAACGGCTATATAGCCCTTTGGGTAGTCCCCAACCCACCCCCAACGGCTCTGTTGGCACAAAAACAAAAAAAAAATTACTAGCCGTTGTGACCCGGACCCGGGCCCGACCTGGCCGGGTCACGTTTTGCCGGAACCGAGTCCGCCCCCCGCTGCCCCCCCCCCCCCCCCCCCCCCCCGAATCGGGTCTACACCCGGTCCCGGACTGCAAGACCGGGCCGGTCCCGGGCCCGCAGAGTAGCGTGCCAGGCTGGGTTATGGGCCAGGTGGCCCGAACCGAATCCATCACCAGGGATAGGTAGGTAAGCAAAAAAAATAACCAAGCCCAAGACTCGACCCGGACCCGGGTCCACCTATTCAGACCCACCAGCCCGCCCGGGCCTAGGCCCGACCCAGCCCGGCCCGAATCCACCCCTAGGTTGGTTCATGAAATATAGGGTCCGAGCCCGGCCCGCCCAAACCGGGCTAATTCCCAGAACCGCCACTCCCCAACCGGTCAGGTCTGAGCCCAAACTATACCGGGCCGGTTCAGCCCGGTTGAGTCCACCCCTAGATGGGGCAACGATGAAGGGTTTTCGGACATGGGATATCGATTGAGATAACAAAGGACGAATTTTAAAGATGGGGTAGAAAAGGTAACGCGTACAAAAAAAAGGATTGCCCCCTATCCCTGAGAGCCACCCGGACCTAGGGATGGACCGCGACCGATCGGACCGGCCCGGTACTGGAACCGGACTACCACTGTGCGGTATCGGCCCGGGCTTGTTGACCGGGACCAAGCCTTGGGACCCATAGGGTTTTTGGGATGGGTCACGAGCTGCACTTGTCTTGGAACCGGACCGGCTGGTCCGGGATCGATCCAGGCCGGGATTTTTTTTCGTATGGATTGGGTGGTAGGCGCCTAGGCGAGTTGGACTGGGGTGTTTGGGGGTGTTGGGGGTAGGAATAAATAAGAAAAACAAAATTTTAAAATATATATATATGTACCGACCCGACCCAGGCCCAATCCCGAAACCAACCCGGGCCAGTACCAGGCCTCCAACTCCCAAACCTAGTACCACCCAAGGCCCAACCCAAATCCAGGCCCGGTCCATCCCTACCTGAACCTGACTGCATTGTCATCTAAGATCATTCCAATGGAAAGAGAGTGAGGTTATATCACATATTAATACTTGGGACTTCTCTCTTATGACACTCTTTTCCTACTAGGTGTCGAGGTGAGCTAGCACAGTCATCCGTCATGCATACAAAATGGTGAATGTTGGGTCACAGACAAACTGAGAGTCAGATAGATGGGGCTATAGATTAATAATGATCATAGTGGGTAGATCAGAGTAGGGATGGCCGGTTTCGGGCTTTTAACCCATTTGGGCGGGTCAGGCGGGCCGGGCTCGGGTCCAACTTTTGTTGAACCAGTCCGGGCGGTTCGGGTCAGGACCGGTTCAAGTTTTATTGTTTTTGTTTTATCAATTTTTTTCATTTTCCTAGGGTAGGGCTGGGTGTTTTGGGGAGGTTTGGAGGGTAGGGGGATAACAAGAAATGGAAAAAAATTGAACATGGAACCGGGCCCGGCCCGGAACTGAACTGGCCCAGGTCCATCACTAGATCATAGATGGGGTCATTAGGGTGTGTAGAGGCAGTGTTCTAAAAGGCCTAATAAGGCGCCGCATAGGCAGGCCTGGGCTCAAGTCGGGAACAAGACGCCCCGCATAACCTAAATGTGTGACAAAAGGCGTGTTGGCCCACAACTTATAAAATTCTGACTATATTTCGGAACATCCCACTCTCGCACACATAGCTGATATGCATCACAAGTGAACTATTTTAAACCAAGCAGGCTTAGTCAGATGCATGCTACCAAAAGTCACATCTATTATATAGAGTGCTGGGAGATGAAATGCTTTCTCTCCTTCCGGTGTGGGAATAAGCCGTTCATGTATTTAAAGATTTGGTATTTCATATACTCCGCATAGCAATGAATTACTTAGTCTATTACACTATTAGGAGTTTTGTTCACCACGGTTCAATAATTTGCTCTATTATTATTACTAATATATATATATATATATATATATATATATATATATATATGCACTATAATATTTACGATTATTACTAAATTATTATTACTATCGTAGTAAGATCATTATTATATAACCATTAATTGATATTTTAATTATTAAGTATTGACAATATTGTCTTCCATTATTTTTACCAATTCTTAGATATTGTATGCATAAAATAGTATGATTTTTACAAATATTTTTTAATATTACATTTGTATATGGAGTATTTACTATACATTTATATAAAAAATTAAACACTTTTTAAAAAATTATAACACCTTTTCATGCCTCCATTTCGAAGGTTTAAAGCTTAGTCGTGCCGACTCATCACACCTCATGATTTTTAGAACACTGATTATATATGTAATCTAATATAGTAAAAAAATATCATTTTGTATTTGCACTTTACATACATTTAAAAATTACATACTCCCTTCCGTTCTTATTAAAGTTCTCATTTTCTTTTTTGGGATGTCCCTTATTTAAGTTCACACTTCCATTTTAGTAAACAAAAGAGTGCAAAACAGTGCCAAACAATGCCAAACAGTGCACTCCACAGTAAAGTCAAATGTGTGAAGTCAAACTAAGAACTTAAATAAGAACCGGAGGAAGTATATAGAATAAAAAAAATAGGCTTAATCTTGTATAATATATTTTGGACATTTATTTATTTTCTTCGTATATCACTATAAAATATAGTAATTATCAATAAAAATCTAAAACGCCTTTTCACGCCTAGATGGCTAGATCTCACCTATTCCCACCTAGGCTTCAAAGACGTGAGGCTCGGCCTCGACACATTGTGTAGAGGTGATTAAATATTGAGTGGGAATAAATAAAGGAGTAAATGGGCATTTTCACATAAAAAAACTTAACAATCATAGAAAAAAATGCAGGAAGATAATTTTGGGAAACCAAATAGGATAATAGACTACTCCATACTCCGTAGTCCGTGGTACGAGTATATTTCAACCTTCAATCACCTACAGGAACTGGAAACTGTGGAAGTCATAGGACAATAGTAGATTATATGCTTAAATTCTTAAAAATGCTATTAAACATACATTTTGAGAGATGAGCGGCACAAAATGTTGAATTACGCATTAATATCAAAATCAAAATTAGCTCCTTTGACAAAAATCTCTTAAATATTACTCAAATAGAGAATACACTGAAGAACATGCTTCTCAAAATCACAAACTGGAAATAAACATAACCATGCTGAGGATCCTTCTCATCATTTCAGAAGGTACAACTATCTAGAGTTTAAGACACCAAGGTGCTTGCTGTGTTTGACTCGCTGCAAAAGACAAAAACGAATGAAATTTCAGCTACAGAGAAACGTTAAGATTATAAATTATCAAGCCCTGGTTTGAAAAACACTGCCTTTCAGAGTGTGCATAAATTTCAAAACTAAAAAAGCAAACATAACCCTGTACTTGCGTAAAAATATCTGTATCTTTCTTAAATGGCAAATAAATTTCATGTCACAATATTTTACTCCAAAACTAATCTTAAAAACATATTGCTAGACTTGTAAATCATACTATCCGTACAAATTCTCTTTGATTCCATCAGAACATGAGTATATACTTGTCTCTATTTGTTACTCCCTCCGTCCCTCTTATATTGTCCCGTTTTACCTTTTCAGAAAGTCCCACTAAAATTGTCACATACCATATTTGGTAAAGTTTGTGTGGTTCTAAATCATTCTTACTTTATTCTTACTTTATCAATTAATATCAACCACACAAGTAACAACCCCACTTTTCTTAATAATCGTGCCACTCTCTTCTGACCCAATATAAGAGGGACAGAGGTAGTATATGGTAGTGCATAAAAATAAAAATATAACTTAAAACAATTAAAACATTTAAGATAATATTTCAAACAAAACTCCAACATTTCTATAAAAAAAGACTTAAAAAGATTGACAAGGTTAAGGAGACTAGATGAGATATTTCAATGAAAGGTAATTTACAGAACAATATAATTTTAAAAAGCAAGGGGGTAGAGCCTGGAGAGCCCAATTCTGTAACCCAATACATGAAATTGTTGACTAAGTAATGCTATGGTGACTCGCAGTTTCAATTTAATTGTTTTTGCCATCTAAAAATTGTTCCACAAATTAGTTAAACTTTTTTAATTGTTGTTTTGATATCTAAAATTTGTTCCACAAAATAGTTAAACTTTGTGGATATCGAGATGGCATCTTATACTTGTTTTCTATCTGGAGAATCGTTCAGATGAACTATAGTGCTAACAGACCGAAGATGGGTTTTAACACAATGGTAACATATGTATCCAAAAATAGTACGGGACATGCGCTGAATAAATTGACAGAGCCTTAAGGAATACTGCATAAGCAATGGAGCTAAGGTAAAGAGAACATAGTGCAGTAAACAAAATCCATAACATACTTAGCAGAGATAAACACATGAATAACCTTCAGGTTTGTGAAGAAATAAAAAAACAAGAGATCGTTTTTCAACCAGAATGAAAATGAGAAGAGATGATGAAGCATCTTACTATTTCCAAACAGGAGGAAGTTTCTTGGTCTTTTTGTAGTAGCGTGCAAGGCGGTGAATTCTGCTCTCAACAAGAATCAGGCGAAACTTTGAGTCTTTGTCCTTCCGGTTCCTCTCCAGGTGCTTCCTAATTGCAACTGCCTTCTTAATCAAATGGTATAAATCCTCTGGTATCACAGGAGCCAGCCCTACACACAATTTACCAACACCAAAGCCAACCGAATTTTGTTATTACTATAACATCTAACCAAATTAAACTACAGAAAAATTTAATTGAAATTATTACCGTTAGCCTTAAGGATGCGGAGAATTTTGCTACCAGTTACACTCTTGACTTGAGCAATTCCATGTGAATCTCTCAGAAGAACACCAATCTTTGAAGGTGTTGTACCCCTCTTGGCAAACTTACATATACTCTCCTCCACCTTCGATAATCGGAATTTAATGATTCTCCAATTTGAACACAGAAATTGATACCAAAAGTTTATTGGGAGGATTGAGAAGACATTCTCTTGGATTGAATATGTAGCGGGAAAAAAAATCTTTTCAAACTTAAAGATATCTTTAATATTTATTTCATACGGAGTATTATATATTCATTTATGTCATAAATATTAAGCAATCTAAAAAAATTATGGGATCTAAATGCTCAGTCTCATTTCATTTTTCTTGCATTTGGTTAAGTAGATGGACGCATAAAAAATGACACTCCTTGGCATTTTCGTTCCATTCTCCTTAGCTTTTTCTAAGAGCCAAAAGCAATCTACTGAACTTGTGAATCTATGGCAATGTTATGGAAAGGAAACACATCCCTGAAAAGTAACTTTCTTACTAAGTTTACTTACGAAGATAAAAAGTAAAAATGAAATATAACTCATTTTTAGCTTCCCAGATACTTTAAAATGTAAACAAGGTTTAGGATTCACAATCCTTGTACTGTAGAGCTAGATAAAGTGGAGGAATCGAGGATTTCAAGGAACTGCAGGAACCTAAATTCATAGGCTGGGGTTATTACATAGCCCAGGTGATCACCATTCAAAAATAAGTGGGTATTAAATATTCACCAATTATCATTTACTGCATTTGCATTACTTGATGCAAACTAAGAAAAAATACTCACTTCCTGAGCGGTGGTCTTAAGCCAAGCAGGAGGGGTTCGCTTGTAAGGGGTTACAGAAGAGGATATACCTTTACTGAAATTCAAATGAACAAGTAAATCAGTCAAACTTTCAATCATATCCTCTGATACATAAACTCAGTTGAGAAACCTTTTATACTAAATTGTATTGAATAAAAAACAAGGAAGTACCCTCGACTGTGCATTCGACCCATGGCTGCTGCGGCGGCGGCGTCGACGGAGGAGGCTGCGTAATACTCCTGATAACAATGTTACAGAAACACAGATCTTGTATTATAAATCGTCATTGAAAATTGTTTAAGCTTAGAAGTTGAAAGAGCTAAAGTGAAGAGGAAGCGTCTGTACCTTCACAGACGAAGACGACGAACTCCAACGGAGGCCAACGCCGAAGTCGATGGGTTCCTATGGTTTATATACTCGTGCGGAACCGATAGTTTCCTAGGGTACTAATTTTCGAGTGAATGAATTGAAGCTGGGCCTAATTTAAAACATTGGATATTATATGGACCATGTATGTTCACCAGCCCAATAAATTTAAAAGCATTTAATTTAGTCTTGAGTTCAAATGTGTGTTTGTTTCACTTGCAAACTTGCTCACTTAAACTAGTACTCCACTTGTGAGATTCCCTGCCAGCCCTATAGGACACTGATATACTTAAAGTGTATACTTACTTGTTCACCATTTAAATAGAGTTTTATCGAAATAATGCTGGAAAAAAACTGTTTACGCAAATACTGTCTGAATACAAATATTTACGAAAATACTGTTCAACTGACCATGGTCACGGAAAACCACCAAATCAAATGGCGAGTTAGAAGTCGCCAAACTGGATGACGAATTTAATTTTAAAACAGGTGTCCGCATACTAGCAGACATGACCAAACCAACCTCAAAAATCTCCTTCGGCGAGAATTCGGGCTAAAGGCCCCGAGAGCAGGGACCGCGGCTAATCCACCTGCCAAGGACACACTAAATCCATCTTCTTCAACACTCTTTCATCCAGGTAAATGAAAGCTCCATTTTATCTCAAATTCCAAGTTAGGGTTTTGGATTGATAAATTTCAAAAATTGTAGATTAAGAATTGGTTTGTGTTGATGTTCGTAAGTGTTTGCATATGTATAAAATGTTAAAGTTTCATGTGGATATTAATTTAATATTTTTGTTTTGTTAATTGTAAAGATATCATATAAATATTGCTTAAATATAATGACATTTATATGTTCTAATATGTATGAAATGTTGAATTTGGATGTATAAAGTGTGTGTATTCATGTTTACTCGTCATTTTATCGTCATGTATTGTTATTAGAATATGAAAGTCTCAAACTTTCCATTAGTGTGTCACTGGGAAGGAAAATTATTTGAGGAAGCAGGTGCAATACAATATGAATGAGGTATGAGACGGCTTGTTGTTGTATGTCGTTGAGCATGTTTGCCAGAAATTATGCATAAATTGTACGTAGCGACATCCATTCCCCAGATCGCTTCTTTTGAAGGCTTTTTGTAGCTTTCGACCACCAGACTTGTTTGTGAAGAAGTGCTTTTTGAAGAAGTGCAGTTAGACCTTGCTATGTTTGTCACGCCCCGGACCTAACCGGACACGTCAACAACCCGCCGTACAGTACGAATAGTCGACCGCAGTCCAACTCATCCACACTATACAAGGCGTCATGAATATCATTCACACATAGTACATCCATAAACAAACATAATGTAAAACATGCATTTAAAACAGCGGAAGCATTTAATAAGAGTGTCTTAGCCACACTTTGGCAAACATGGGCATGCAAGTCCCCAAATAGTTATTCAAAATAATATCCATGAGCACTATTATAATTGTTTTGAAATCAGAAAACAGAAGAAGCACGAACCACGTCTTCTCCTCTGAATATCCCGAGCAACGGGCACTGGTAGCAACCTTCAAGTCCTACCTGAAACTGTGAGGTGGCCTCCCCCGTGAAGGGGAGGTCAGTACTTGGAAATATTTGACAAGTACAATAGCAACTATACTAAGTATAATCAACGTTTTAATTTCCAAGACCCTCAACTTAGGGTACTATTATATTTTAGGCCATAACCCTCGGTTACCCCTTTTTCTTTTAACTGTACTTACTTTACATAAAGTCAAGTAGTCGGCCCGTAGGCCCATATTCATTTAGATTTCATCGTTTCCATTCCCCCGTGAACGCAAGTCACGATAACCCCGTGGGGTCCCATCGAGCCCCAATTGTATAGCATGGGCTCGGCCCAACTACATCTCTATACAATCCTCTAGCTCAATATATCATATCAAAATTTGTATGGCAAGGGCTCGGCCCAACTACGTTTCCATACCAACCATAACTTCGTGGCAAGGGCTCGGCCCAACTACATTTCCACGGAGGTCACATATACATGGCAAGGGCTCGGCCCAACTACGTTTCCATGCTAATCATATTACATGGCATGGGCTCGGCCCAACTACATCTCCATGTCATCCTAGAGTCCAACTCTAATTATTTTCATAATCAAATTCTCAAGCAAGTCATATGCCTGGAATCAATTCCCGTATGTGGCCTTTAGGCCTACCCCTATCACATCTTAGTGTTCATACCATTCATCCTTAAGTATCTCTTGAGACTACTTAAGGCATATCTATTCACAATCCTACCTCTTAGGATTTGTTTCATCATTTATTTATATTAATTCCCCGACTAGTATTTTGATACTAATTGGATAATTTTAGAACATACTAAGTTCCCATTTCCCAATTGGCATTTCATTTCCATTGATTTCTCAACCCAAGTATAGTTTGATCTCAATATCAAAAATATCACTTTAATCCATTCATTAATTTCATACATGAAGTAAAGTATATTTTATCACAATGTCATCATAGTAATTCCGTTAACATGTCGTTCCATTCATTTCACATAATCATACACAATTATTCTAAATTTGTATATCATGCTCCACTTACTCATATCCATATTATTTTCATTTAGGCATTATTAGTCATTAATAATCCATGAAAATCCCATCTAATTACTTTAGGCAATCTTATGAAATTAACTCACTAATTATAAGCAATATAGTCAGTCATCCTCACCTTATGATGTGCTCAACTAGCTGCCTTAGCGAACCCCCCTCGATCCGTCCTCGTTCTAGGCCATTCAAGAGTGGAAAATCTGGGAATAGAGCGAAAGCCGGGCGACTTTTGTGAAAGCCGGGCGACGTTCGTCCTCCTGCAGCACGAACAGCCTCCTATATGTGGCGGTTTCCGGCGATTTCGACTCCTATCGATCCACCAACTCTTCTAAGTTAAATATCACCACTTTATATCAATATTCTACACTTTTAAACGTGTAGAACATCATGTTTAACCCACCAAATGATTTCTTAATAAATCATTCATGATAAAACTAGTTACAAGAGTTTTCTTGTAGAGTTCTTACCTTGACTCAACTCCCTTTTTGTTAGATCTTTTCCCCTTGCTTCCCTGAGCTTGAACTTTGATAGAGGCCTTCCCAGAGCTCCTCTCCTACCTTATTTGAGTGGTGAGGATGATGCAAATGATGGGGGGACATTTCATCTCAATCCCTCCCACTTATTCAATGGAATGGGTCATGGGTTTTGTCTCTTGGAGACTTTCCACCTACTAGGTACACCCCTCAGCTGCTTCCTTGACATTTGCAGCACATTGGGTCGTGGGGTGGCCCCCACTTATGTGGGAGGTCATCCCATTATATCCCGGTGTGTATAATTGGCCCCGAAAGTTGTATTTTTCGGACTACTTTAGTCATCTTTTATTTTATCGGGCCAGATAAAATATATCACGTGTTCCTAATAATTATGAGCCTTTAGAATAGATGTATATTCCCCAACATGAATTTAGGAGTCTCCGAAACTCATTTCGGGCTGTTATCCGTTGAATTGCCAATACCGGTAATTGGGCCCCGTTTGACCAACCGGTCAACTCCATGCCTTTCTTATGGCCCAAATAAAATATCCACCACCATATACATATTATCTAGACCAAGATGAATATAATATGTGGTTCGGGAATTATCGGGCGGTCCCCGCTCCCGCTGTGGGTTCCACACGCAATTTACTATTCACGTAAAAGAAATAATGAAATTTACAATTACGCAAATTCATAAATCATCTTTCAAGGTTTATTACATAATCCACTAAAAGTAAATATGCTCGGGGTCGGTGTTACAAGTTCACCCCCCCCCCCCCCCCCTTAACGGGAATTTTGTCCCCGAAATTCACAACGCTCATTCAAACAAAAACGTGTATTGCTCTTTCATCAAAGCTTCCGTTTCCCAAGTTTCCTCCTCAACTCGGTCACTTTTCCAAAGGATTTTAACCATTGGGACTTTCTTGCTTCTTAGCTTCTTTACTTGCCTATCAAGTATCCTCACCGGTTGCACGGCGTAGTTCAAGTCTTCCCGTATTTCCACGGGTGGTTTCTCTAGTACATGAGATGGGTCCAGTATATACTTCTTAAGCATAGACACGTGGAATACGTTATGTATCTTCTCCAATTCTGGAGTCAACTGTAATCGGTATGCCACGGCCCCAATTCTCTCAAGAATCACAAATGGCCCTATGTAGCGTGGGTTAAGTTTCCCTCGGCTCTGAAATCGGATGATTCCCTTCCAAGGTGAAACTTTCAAAAATACCTCATCTCCATCCTTAAACTCTAAGGCTCTTCGGCGCTTATCGGCATAGCTCTTCTGTCTATCTTGTGCCGCCTTGAGTCTGTCACGAATCATCTTTACCTTTGACTTGGTGATTTCCACCAATTCCGTGCTCTCGAGTTTGGCCATGCCAACCTCGTCCCAACACAAAGGTGCACGACATCCCCTCCCATACAATGCCTCGTATGGAGGCATGCCTATACTCGCCTGATAACTGTTGTTATAGGCAAACTCCACGAGTGCCAAATGGTTGTCCCAACTCCCTTGGAACTCCAATGCACAAGCTCTCAGCATATCCTCTAATATCTGTATAACCCGCTCGGATTGTCCATCCGTTTGTGGATGAAAAGCTGTACTGAATTTCAGTTTTGTCCCCATAGATTCTTGGAACTTCGGCCAAAATCGTGATGTTAATCGCGGATCTCTATCGGATACGATGGTTATAGGAACCCCATGTAGCCTCACGATCTCATCCACATACAACTTGGCTAACCTTTCCAGTGCATAGGTGATGTTGATAGGTAAAAAGTGTGCACTCTTCGTGAGCCTATCAACCACAACCCATACGGCGTCATAGTTCTTAATCGTCCGTGGCAGCCCCACCACGAAATCCATAGTCACGTGCTCCCACTTCCATTCAGGAATGGAAAGTGGCTGTAGTAACCCAGCCGGATGCTGATGTTCTGCCTTAACTTGCTGACAAGTAAGACACCTACTGATGTACTCGGCTATTTCCCTCTTCATACCCGACCACCAGTAGCTTTCCTTCAAATCACGGTACATCTACGTGCCTCCCGGGTGCAT